GGTCCTGCGCGACTTGTGCGGCGCTCTGGAGCCGCCCAACGGCTCGCCAGAGTGGGAACTTCAGCTCCGCCAGCGCCCGGCCCGCCGACGACCCGCTCCAGGCACAGTGCAAGTCCCCATTTCTGAGGCGATTGGGCTCGGGCCTGGTGCGGCGCCCAGACCCTCTACCGTCTGGGAAGCCGGAAGCTTGACTGCAAACGTACTTGGGAAGTGGGCGGGCGAGCTCTTTGTGCGTCCATGCTTTGGGGGCGCGCCCCGGACGTCATTCGCCGCCACACACACTCACACCCAGCTTCTCTGGTACAGTACAGTCCTCGCTCGCTCGCTCGGGACGCCCTTCCTCGCCTGCATGACGAACCTTGCCCGTCGGGTGCGTCCAAACGCACATCCAGGCGCTGTGAGTGGACGAGGTGCCACATCCCTTCCCTCTGGGGCCCAGCCTTCGCGCCGGCACTGAGGCGGGACGACGACGAGTCCCAGAGCAAGCCCGCCCGCCTGCCCGCCCGTAGTAGTAATCCTCCATCTTGGCTGGCTGGCTGCGGTTGCATCAGTTGCCTTTAAAAAGGGGACCTGGCCCCCCCTCCATCCTCGCCCTCTACACTCTTTCGCACATCCACCACCGACAGACATTCTTCAAAACCAACGCAAATATTCCCACACCCCGTCAACCACCAGACAACTCAACCAAACCGTCATCATGGGCGACTGCGGATGCTCCACCTCTGGCTCCTGCAACTGCGGCTCCAGCTGCACTTGCGCCAACTGCCCTGTAAGCCGTGGCCCCCCGCCTCCATCCATTCCCCTTCGCCGTGTGATCTCGTCCACTGACAGTCCCTTCGCCTGCAGCACAAATAAACTCCCGCGCAACACGGGCAGGGCACTCACTCGTTCCTGATACTCTGATGGCTCGACTTATTTGATTTTCTTGGGGTGGCGTTCGAGGGGCGGTTGATGGCGGGGCGACGAGGATGACGAGTTCGACGACGACGACGAAGGCTGATGATGACACCACCGGGGGGTTGGAACACGTCCGTTTCACGGACTGACCGACCGGCCGCGCGCGCGCGCACGCACGGGGACGATGGCGGGCGCATGTCCTGTCTCTATCGACTGCCATGATGGCTGCGCGTGTACATCCATATCCATATATGTCCATACCCTATATCCGATACCTGGGCCGAGAAATTGAGGCCACATCTCGGAACACATCTGGCGCGATGCTGCCCTCCCCCCACCCTGTCGCTTGCTCTCGATCCCAACGTGTCCTATGTCCTACGTCCCACGTCGCACCTCGCCTCGAAACGTCACGCGTCTCCCTCGTGTGTTGCACCACGCACGCGTGGCGCACCGCAATCAGGTGCCCGCTGGTGGCGCCTCGCTCCGATGGGCTCGTGGGAATGTGCACGTTGCCCGTCTGGATGCCGCTACCCGGGCTGACTGGCCATTCGTGCATGCATGCTTTGGGCGGAAGAGCCCCAGAGGGCCGCTGCGGAACAAGACTATGCGTGCTGTCCTACATCTATGGTCTATAGTAGCCATCGATTATGTAGCGGGGAGCCACTGGGAGACACGTCCGGTCTGCACGGCGACAAGCTCTCCAACCTTGGTACGCATCTACAGGCTATGCTCTTTCCAATGTGTTTGCAACGAGAATATCAGTGCCCTGAACGCTTCGCCGACCGCTTGGGCAACCCGGTCGGCTGGTCCCCCATTCTGCTTACAACTGCGTACATGTGGTGTGACACTATTCCGTAGACCGCAATTCTCGGTAGAAAGTTGCTGCCTGCCAGCAGCAGTCTGCACACAGCTTGAGATCATGGTGAACTTGAGCACGAGCTTCGTTCAGTTGAAGCTCAGGCGGGTCAGGGGGCAAGCCTTAGTCCAGGCAGGCGGGCCGTTGCCGCAGCGGGGCACTGACTGGCGATTGCGCAAGCAAACCTGCTCATATGCGCTCGCCCACTTGAAAGCGCGGGACGGGACGGTCCGACATGCCTGACGGCATGCGTCGCTGAGGGCGTGAGCTGATGCGCGGTGGCCAAGTCGGCCGCATGCGCCGATGCGGGCTCTTCTGCGGATGGGCAAGGCAGAGAGGTGACAGAAGTCTACGTGCAGGGAGGTTGGCGGGTGGGTTGAAGATGGCCGATGCTAGTATATATCTTCATGTCCGCTTGGATCCCGCTTGCGCTGACTGACCTTGCTTGGTCTTGCTTCCCTGCGATTGGCACGTAATTATTTAAAGTATTAAATTTCCCGGGATTTTGCACAAACTTCTCTCAGACAAAGTGCCTCGTCCTGGTCAACTCCTCGCACATGGCCGACTTCTGGATGATGTCAGTCAATCCAGCTTCGGATGAGTTCGAGAAGACAGATGGACACGTTACCTTAAACGCGACAAGACTATGTGGCTTGCTGGAGTGCCGGAGGATTAGCAGGCTTTCAATCTGCCCCCATCATGGTCATCGGAGGATGAAGGTCGCTGGTGATGGCAGTACTGCGTGTGATTGGCGGAGCATCACAGGCCTTGGTGGTGCGGGCATCAGAGGCGCCAGGCCCCCCCGGGGCGGTGACATCAGCACCCTGCGACTGGCTGATGAGCCGCCTGTCCGCTGATGGATGACTGTGCCGGTCGGTGCCTCGGATCTGCCGCGCCCGCCCACCCACTAGAGCTGGAGCTGCCATCATCACCTTCCCCCCACGAAGCGCCTCAGCAGCCACTTGCTTCCACGCGCTCCGCCGGCGCCTCAACGTTGCTGCGGCTCCGTTCCATACCACACTTTGCCAACGCTGCTACGTCTCCTCCCGCCGCCCCGCGACGTCTTTGATTCTTGCAGCCGCATACATACATTGCACTACGTCTACCAAGTACTACTTTGTCGCGCCGTCGCGCCGTTTGGACATCTGCCGATCGATAATGGGCCTGTGAGCCTTTCCTCCCCGCCGACCCCCGAACCCCGAACCCTGCAGCCCTTTGGCGTTGCATCTTGCCGCGACGACAATGGCATCGCAGACGCCGACGACGCCGGCGCTGCCGTCTGCCGCCGTGCAATCCATCACCGCGCCGCGACCCCCCGACGCGCCGCGACGATGCTTCATCTGCCTGACGGACGAGGACCCCTCGGACCCCCCCGGCTCATGGGTCGACCCGTGTCCCTGCACCCTCGAGGCGCACCAGGACTGCATGCTTTCGTGGGTCACCGACTGCGAGCGCTCCAACAAGCCGCTGCTGTGCCCGGTGTGTAAGTCGACCATTGAGCTCGAAGGGCCCTGGGACCTCGTCGTCGCCGCCTCCGACGCCATCCAGAGCCGCTTCACCCGCGCCAGCCCCTTCCTGCTCTTCACCGGCGTCTCCATGGGCGTCCAGTTCAGTCTGCAGATGTACGGCGCCCTCGCCCTGTGGACCTTTGCGGGCAAGGACAGCCTCATGCGCTTCATGCTGGGGCCCGAGATGGTCATCGACGGGCGTGCATCGGGTAATGCCCGCTTTATCAAGGAGCGCATATGGAACGCCCTCGTCATGATGAACATTGCCCCTACCCTGCTCTTTGGCAAGCTGCTTCCCGGCCTGAGCAATAAGATTTTCCTTCCGGCCGCGTCCGTGGTGAGTTCGGCCCTTCGGCTGTCGGTGTCGCGAGAAAACCCAAGCTGACCTGTGCGCCACCAGTACGGCATGTACCACGTGATGCACGAAGACGACTTTATGACGTGGCCGCCTTCGCCCCAGCTCGCCATGGCCATATTCCCATATATCCGCTCCGTCTACTTTAACCTGTGGAAGGAGTTTGCGCTCCCGTACGAGATTAAGCTTAACAGGCAACTCCTCGGCCTCCCCGCACCGCAGGAGGGACAAGACCAGGCTCAGGGCCAGAATCAGCACGCAGCCAACGACAACCAGCGCAATGCGCAGGACCGCAACGCAGATGGGGGTATCGTCGGCCTCCTGCAAGCCGTCCTCGACGCCCTGGACCCAGATGACGACCAAGGGCACCCCGCGGGCGCCAACGACATCAACCGCATCGAGATCGTGCAGGAACCGGCCGATGCGCTAGAGGACGGCCAAGGCGCCGAGATCATGGTGGAGCTGCAGATTGAAGAGGTCGAGCTGGACGAGGACGGTGACCCGATGGTGCAGGAGCAACCGCCGAATCCTCTGGAAGACGAGGAGCCCGAACCTCACCCGGGCGCGTGGGGTGAAGATGCGCCGCAGTTGCACGCCGACCAGGAGCTGGCTGCGCTGCCGCCCCTCGACAACGACCAGGGCGACCAGGACCAGAACCAGGGCGGCCACGAGGTGCCCCAAGCGCCACCCCGTAGGATGGGTCTCTCTGCGATCCTGTCCAACGTGTCCAACGCCATCGTCGGCGCGCTCATCATGCCGGGCATCTCTTACGCCATGGGCGAGGCACTGCGGCTGGTGCTACCTAAGGCGTGGACGACTGTCGGCCCGCGTAATCCGTGGTCGCGGTACGGCATGGTTGGTCGGCCGGGCCTGCTGCAGCAGCAATGGGGACGAAGCCTGGTGGGCGGGTGCCTCTACGTGGTACTAAAGGACGTGGTGCGCGTGTACACAAAGTCGCGCCGGGTGGCGGCTATGGGCAACCGTCGGGTGAAGAACGTCGACCGCCGACGGAGAGACAAGTGAGGCGGCCGGGACACTCGTGTCCCAAGTTCTTGTTTCTGCCTGTATTGATGTTGGAATCGTGATCTGCGGGACACTCGCTGGGAGTTTTTGGCAATAGGCAATAGACGGGCAAGCGCAGCACAGCACACGGGCAAAGCGGTTTTATATAGTTCAGGTGCGCGTCATCTGATGACCTTGATGGACAGTTGGTCCCTGTCCGGCCACGACAGTAGGCTGAATAGAAGGACTCTACTCTGAGGATCCACGATGCAGTTATGGGTGCGGACTCCTGTGAGCACTACACCATATGTGTCTACAAGGACATTGGGGCAGATAATCTCGAGCAGTGGTGGCGGCGGCGATTTCAAGTACAGATATCCCGTCTCCGCGACTCGCAAAATAGGCCCCCTTCTAGAGCTTCGAGCCGTGTTCCGTGCCGCCCTCTTTTCTCAACGGGAGCAGCTCAAACTGCCGTACCGGCACGCCGAGAAACTGGAAGATCTGATGGAACCTGAAAATCCCCCCCCAGCACGTCAGTCAGTGAACTGTGTTGCCGGCCAGCCGAGTCTTGCAAAGGTTATATATATGTAGATTGCTCACCTATCGCTCCCAAAGAAGGGCTCCTTGCGGCCCTCGTTGTCTTCCGTGACAACCATCCACGGCACGCCAAACGACCCCGCGTCGTTGATCCCGCGCGACGCGTCCTTGAGCATGGCCTTGTACTTTTCGGTGGCCTGGCCGGCCATGATGGCGGTGACGTCGTCGCCGGAGAATAAGGGCGGCGGTGCGGATAGGGCGTCGTGACGCTTGTTGTTGGGGGCGGCGGTGCTACCCGCGGTGCCCGTGTGAGTTCCCGCGCCGTCGAAGCCCGAGGGCAGCTCGCGGAGGACCTCGGCCAGGACGGGCTCGTCGCGGATGCGGCGCCGGGGGAGGGTCCAGAAGCAGTGGAAGAGGTAGTGCCATGTGGTGTGGTATGCGTGGCGGGGGTGGTGGTCCTTGATGTAGAGGAGGGCGCGGCCGGCCTGTGTTAAGTACATAACGTCAGTATTCACGTCCCCTCACTCAACTCACTCACTCGCTCACTCTCACACGCAAACAGACTTTCTCTCTCTCTCTCTTTTCCCGAGCGCACTCTATGCCGCCCGCTCCGTAGTGCGCTTCTAGGGAGTGGCGAGCAGTGCCAGTTCTCTCCATCACTCACCTTTTGCGTCCAGCCCAGCTCCAGCAGCTCCCGCAGATCCTCGGGCACCGCAATCTCGGGCTTGCCAAACGCGGCCTTTGCGCGGCCCGTCTCGTAGTCGGCGAGGTAGTCGCGCTTCTGCCTGCTCACGGCCCAGGGCGGCGTGTTGTCTATACAGCCCGAACGGAACCGAAATAACGGTGTCAGAATGGCAAATCCACAAGGAAGCCACCCCCCTACGAACAACACGGGGGACGCGGGCGGGCGGGCATTTACCCTCGCGCACGCGTGCCGGGGGTGAAAGAGACTTGCCTGCGCCGGACTGCACCACTCCGGCGAACACGGGGTGAAACCTAGAAAGGAAGGAGAGTTAGTTAGCCATGGGAGACTGAGAGTCAAGAGTCGCGACGATGCGTGACAACGACAACAACAGCATGAAAAATGTGAAGGATGCTCCGCAACCGGCTTTTTCGACTTACTCGACTTCAACACCATGGTCACTCAGCGTGTCCAGGTTCCTGACGAGATAGTAAAAGGCCAGGTAGCTATAGAACGACGCTTCATCACGTAGCATCAGCATCCGGAACGTTCCATGTCGATAAAAAGGAGGGCGATGAAGCACGGCACCTACAGATGTCGATGTAGCAGTCTATTTTCCCACCCATCTTGACTACTAGCAATCACCTGATCAATTGCTATCGTAGAAGAGTCTCGATAAACGTAACGCGGGGGAGATGAGCAGCGGACGGGGATGGAAAAAGTCCTCTTGGCACGACTCGCGGCTGATGGGTGATATATAATAGCCTGTCTCACGCCACAGCCGAGCTAGGGCTGACGGTGAGATTATACGCAGAGGTCACGAGCAAAAGCTTACGCCGGCACCTCGGCCGACGACAATAATTTCGGGCGCGAATAGACTGGCTTGTCTGAATCTTCATTTTCATTAATATACCGTAAAAATAACTCTATACTGCCAGCTGCGTCGTCTTGCTGGACTGAATGTACTGCTGGTACTTTTGCAGGTGCTTGTCGACCACGCCGCCAGCGCCGGCGTAACGCTCGACCTGCTCGGCGCAACGGCCGATGAAGAGCCTCGCGTCCATGAGGCCATCGACCTCGCCCCAGATGGGTTTCTGTAATGCCATGATCAGCCGGAATGAACGCAAGAGACAAACGAGAGTGGTATGGACTCACGAAGAACTCGGTTCTCTTGATGCGCTCAATGAGGTCGTTGCTGCCACCCTCCATCTTGACGTGGTAGGCGGCCTCGCGCGACAGCAGGCGAATCTCCTCGTGGGCAACCTGGCGCGAGGCGCCGTGGTTGACCATGCGGATGAGGATTTCCTCGCTGGCCATGTAGGGCAGCTCCTGCATCAGCTGGGAGTTGATGACGGCGGGGAAGACGACGAGGCCGTCGCAGACGTGGTCGAGGCTGGTGACGATGGCGTCGGCGAGGAAGAACATCTCAGGAATGTCCATGCGGCGGATGGCGCTGTCGTCGAGGGAGCGCTCGAGCCACTGCGACGAAAAGGTCTCGCTGAAGTTGGACGAGATGTTGCTGAGCTTGCGGCCCAAGCTGCAGATGCGCTCGGCACTGTCTCCGTCAGCACCAGGCGCGCACGATGAAGTAGAGGGAAGATGCAACGCACGTCATGGGGTTGGACTTGAACGGCATGGCCGAAGAGCCAATCTGACCAGCAACGTGAGGCTCGTCGAGAACCTTGTCGTGGCAGAGGTGGCGGATGTCCTGCGGTTGTCAACATGCGCCCCCCAACCAGAAATGAGGAGGAGGGAGGGACGAACAGTAGCGACGCGGGTCGCAGTGGCGCCAAGCGCAGCCAGAGCGTTGGCAACGCGGAGGTCGACCTTGCGGGTGTAGGTCTGGGTGGAGATGTCATAGCAGCCCTGGAAGCCGCTCTTGGCGCACAGCTTCTCATTGAGCTGGTCGACCTTGCTGGCGTCGTTCTGGAAGAGCGCAAGGAACGAGGCCTGCGTGCCGGTCGTGCCCTGGGCGCCGCGGAACTTGAGGCCGGAGCGGACGTACTCGATGTCCTCGAGGTCGAAGACGAGGTCCTGAAGCCACTGGGCGGCGCGGCGACCGAGTGTGATGGGCTGCGCAGCCTGGTAGTGCCTGTAGCTTTCATGTCAGAGCTCGAGAATCGGCCATGGGGGGGCGGGGGCGCTGTGACGGGGGAGGTGACGCACGTGAAGCCGAGAGTCGGGAGGTCCTTGTACTGGACGGCGAACTTGGCTAGGGAGCTGATGGCGCGGGCCAGCTTGGGGAGGAGCAGGTCCATGGCATCGCGGAGGAAGATGAGGTCGGCGTTGTCGGTGACCTGGGATGGTAAGTCATGTGGACGATACGACGGAGAGGGGAGCGTCGGGGCGTTCGTACTGTCGTCGCATGTCAGTCAGTCAGTCTTCCAGGAGGGGAGTTGTTTTTGTCGGTATTTGAGCCACCTACCAAAGCAAGAGGTCGCGCCGAGGTGAACGACGCCCGCAGCAGCCGGGGCGTCCTTCTCGAGGGCGTGGATGTGCGCCATGACGTCGTGCCGCACGCGCTTCTCCTCATCGGCGGCAACCTTGAAGGCCTCGTCGCTGACGACGAGGTTGGCGCGGATGGCGTCGAGGGCCTCGTTGGAGATCTTGTCGACGCCCAGCTCCTGCTCGGCCTCGGCCAGCCAGAGCCAGAGCTGGCGCCACGTCGTGTAGCGCTGGCGCGGCGTGAAGATCTTGCGCATCTCGCTACCTGCCCGTCGTGCGTGCATCCGTCAGTCTTGCTGGCTTCCCAATGCCTGGCTAGGCCGGGGGTTGGACGGGTGGATGGATTGGGTGTGGACGTACTGGTGTAGCGAGACACCAGAGGGGTCTGGTACTCGTCAAAGGTGGACATGGTGACAGCAATCGGCGGCGGCGGCCAATTGACGGATTTCTAGAAAGGATGGAGTGTTTGAAGGCGGATGGTGTCGTAAAGGTCTCCAGCATTCAAGGGAGCTCAGCGAGAATCGGACGGCAGGCACCCCAATGGCAAAAAAATTCAACCCCACCACCCCGCCATTTGCAGCACAGATACGAATAGCAAAACGATCAGCTCCAAATTGGCGGGGCAGCACACTTTGCCCAATGCCGTCCCCGCCAGCCCGCCGCATGGGGCCACTTGCACCTTATTGCAGCCCGATTTCACCCGCGTCTGTCCCATCATCCACGATGTATCGTGTAAGTGCAAGGCCATTTCGAAACACCAGCTTTCACAGTCAACAACAGTACAAACAGCCCTAGTAACTGTATTAAAGAGGCATTACTGGTAGTGGCTACCCCGGCTTCATATGTGTGATAGCCAGGTAGGCTGGGGCGCCGGGTGCTTCTGGGCGTAGCGGGACCCGATACAAAGACCTCAACACAGCGAGACTGACAAGAAAAAGTCTGGCCAAGAGTATTCATGTTACAGCCTCTCACCTTTGTGTGCGTTCTTCAAGTTCGGTCCAAGACCACCTTACCGCGGACCACCACTTGAACAATATTACGGTCGTCTCCCGTCATGATAAACTTCTCAAACATGATCCGCAATGAATCACCAGCCTGAAGTGGCGCATTCACACCGCCCCGGGACTCGCGCATGTCGACAAGGAGCGCATCAAGCTGCTTGCCGGGCACAAAGTCTCCCACGGAGTCACCAAAGCCGACAACTCGGGCACCGCCTCCCGTGGCCATGTAGAAGACTTCCTCCAAAGAGAGGGCACCGCTGCCATCCTTGGCGTCCATGAAGTCGCGAGCGAACGAGGCGATGAGCGCATGGCGCATGGCATTGAGCATCGACGACGAGTAGCCGCCGCCAGAGTCCGTTCCCAGACCGACCGTGATGCCCTGCCTCATGAACTCGCGGATCGGCGCGGCCATGAAGCCCCCGCCGACCGTCATGTTGGCCGTCGGGCAGTGAGCCACGCCACAGCCGAGGTCACGCAGGCGCCGGATTTCGTACGGCGTCATAATGGTGCAGTGGGCGAGGATGGTCCGAGGACCCAGCAATCTATAGTGGTGGTAGAGGTCGGCCTCGCTGGAGAAGTCAGGGAACAAGGCCCGAGTGCCGCGGACCTCTTGCTCGGACTCGTTGAAGTGCGTCTGGATCGCCATATCTGGGTGCTCAGCGGCCATGGTCCCTAGCTCAGCCAGGAGCTTGGGTTCACAGGAGATGGCGAAGCGCGGCGTGAGCACGGGGCGTATCATGCTGCCGCTGGGATCGATTCTGCGAATGTGGTGGATGCAGTCCCGCGTCACGCGAACCGAGTCTTCGACGCTGGCATCGCGGTAGTAGTCCGGGGAGCCCCGATTCATGTTGCATTTGCCCACCAGCGCCCTTTGGCCCTTGTCCAGGCAGATGTCGGCGAGGACCTGGGTGGCCTCGCCGTGCAGAGAGCCGTAGTAACTGGCCGTCGTGACCCCCTGGCGCAGCATGCCGTCGACGAGGGCGCTGTAAGCCGCTCCCGCATGCTCCAGGTCCTCGTAGCGCGCTTCGTTGGGGAACGCCGTCGACGACAGCCACTCGAGGATGTGCATCCCCTGCCCGAGTCCGCGATGCATCCACTGAGGAGCATGGTTGTGCGTGTCCACGAAGCCGGGAATGAGGAACTGGCCGGGACAGAGCTCCACGAGACGGCAATTGTCCAGATCCAGACCAAGCGCGGCAAGCTTCGGGGCCACGTCTTGTCGACTCACGCCCGCCTCTAGGCTTATGATGGTGCCGTTGGCGTCGACCGCGAGCAGCGCGTCCTCGAGGATAGTCAGGTGCTCTGGTCCCGTGGCGTGGATGATGACACCACGGACCGCCGTGGGCCGACGATCTTGCTCTGCCATGTTGACTTGCGGGCGCGGTGCCCCAAACGTACTCGAGCTACGAAGGAGCGCGGAGACAGGAATCGAGGACGCTGAGAGAGGCGCGATGGCTAAGTGATGTGGCGCGTGCGTTGCGATGCGGTGGTGATAAGCCACGAACAACAGAAGCGCAGCCGATGGAACGTCAGTCAAGTCGCTCTCGATCAGTCGGCTCGCGCTGACGGGCCAAGTCGATCTGCAGACAAGTGCCGACCGAGAGCTGCAAGAGCTAGGCGCCTAATGCGCGCCTGCATAACGAGCCGGCGTGTCAGCCAACCACCCGCTAGACACTGACTTTGGGCAACTCGGCATTGGCACAAAACGGAAAGGGTTGAGGGGCAGCTGTCGTTTGGAGATGTGTCGAGGAAGAGGGGAAAAGAAACCCATCCCAACCGAGCAGGTGCGCTCCCTTTTCCTCGCCACCGCCCGCAATGGACTGAATCAGCCATATACCCAGCTACCTCCCCACGTGCCGTATTTCGAACCATCGCAGGAGGGGATACGAAAGGAGCACGGAGATCACGGTGAGCTCATCCCCAACATCGCCGCCGTGGACACCTATGGGCTTTGCGACCGGCCCCACGTACTGAAGACGCAGGTCAGCAGGCTTTGGCGCGCGTTACGTAGCATTTGGACGGACGGATCTTACCCAAGTCTGGTCCATGCCGAGGAATGAAAACCCGATACCAATAAGAAGTGATGCAGTTCCGGCGAGTCCCCACGGCAGCCGCTGGGGATCCTGCCAGGCCGTCAAGTCGTAGCCACCGATGCGCGGCCGGAACCAAAAGTGCTCTACGAACAGGATGGCGGCAAAGGCCAGCGTCCAGTAGCCCAGCATCGAGAGCAAGTTGTTGATGATGGTCTCCAGGACGTTGCGCCCGCCGTACGCGAGCCCAAATGTCGCGAGGGACAGCACCGTGCACCACGCATACCGCGGGACGGCGACGAAGTGACTGCCCAAGAGTTGCATAGATAGCGCGCTTGAATAGATGTTGCAGACCACGTCCCCCACTGTCGAATACCGAGTAAGTACAAAGACATTGATGACGACCAGCTGCAATGGGATGTGGCCCGGCGGGTACTCACGGAAAGACAAGACGAACAGCACACAGGCAAACTTAGCCCAGGCCGTCGGGGGAGACATGACGGCGAGTATGAGCGACCCGACACCCCCTTCTGCGTAGATGGCACCCAGCTGCTCGCTGCTGGATATGATGCCGCCAAAGTAGTTGCCAAGGATACCGACAAAGACGGTGGGCAACACGATGCCGGCGTAGGTCAGTCCAAAGACGAGCCAGGGACTCGTGGATGCTGGATAGTGGATGTAGTAGTCTCCAGAGATCGGACACCACGAGCAGCATACGCCGAATATCACGGCAAAGTAGGTTAAGCACGCGCCGCTAAAGTCGAGTCCGATGCCGACGTCGTATCCAGGAGTAGGCGAGAAATGCGCGCTCGCCTGGCCGTACAGGACGCACAGGAGGACCGACGCCGGGAGCCAGGCAAAGCGCTCAAAGTGGTGGATGGCGGCGTACCCGAAGAAGGACACGGCAAAGGACACGGCGACGACGACGACGATTCCGACCGCCAAGGGGAGGCCGCCGCCCGAGACGGCGCGCAGCAGCTGGCCGCCCACGATGCTCGCAATGGTCGCGTATCCAATGTTGACCACGACGTTGAGGACAGAGCAGAGCTTTGCGCCCCAGAGGCCCAGAGAGTAGCGGGCAACTGCAATCTGGCGCAGGCCGGTGGGCGGGCTCAGAGTCGCTGTGAAGGCGGGCACGGCGGAGCCCACGATGGTGGCCGTGATGGTCAGGACGATGGACACGTTGACTGAGAGGCCGAGTATCGGGCCCAGCATGCCAATTGGTATAAGAGTAGGGCTGAGGAGCACGGAGAACCAGAAGAGAAGCATCTGTTTGGAGAGCGACATCAGCGGGGGTCGAGTTGTGATGGTGCTTGCACCCAGGTGTATTGTCTCTCACATTCAGTCTCTGAGGAGGCCGACGCTGCTCGTCAGGAACTCGCTCAATGCCCATGGCCTCAAACGCAGAGAGCTTGTCGATGCGGCTCTCGAGGCCAACAAGAAAGCGTAGTATCGCGTTGCCATCGCGGATGGCGCTCACCTTCTCCCCGCCAACGCCCGTAACCTGCCCGACGTGAGTGTCTCGCGCCGAAACAGAGTGCATACCTTCCTCCTGACGGCGCAGCTTGTCGCTCTCAACAGGTTCGTTCATCGTCGGCATGATTGTCCAGCGCACCGCGATGGGTCTGCTGCGGTGTGTCTACTTGAGCAGACCAGGTGGCTTCGACCCTTGGGTGTGTCTTACCTCTCAGCAGAGCGATCGGCCTTTGGGGCCGTTACATTGCGTATAAACTAGACATGAATCACAGGACGGCGGGCCGACCACTACTCCGCGCGGCTAGATTGACTCACTTTAGTAGATTGCAGCGCCTGTTGAGAATGCGATCGGGGGTGCTGGCCGCTATGGCGGTCTGGCAACCAGAAGTGCGCTTCGAATGAGAGTCACACCAGACTCAGGAAGCTTAGGCTTGTATATCAAGCTGTTGGCAGGCTCGCCTCATCGCCAAAGCAGCACTGCACACGGCACTCACTCCTTGCCTCCTGTGTTATTGAATGGATGGGAGAAGGCTGGTACGTATTCTAGCTGAGTTGTTGCACCTTCAGTTACCGCTGTGCGAGATCAAATGCTCGCACCATGACGCAGGCGACGACTCTGGTTCAGCAAACCGACAATGATCTTTGTGCGAGGAATTACAAGATCATAGTTCCAAGGGTAGTCATCTCTAATAGCCCACCTAAGGGCCCGTATTGCTCCTCTCTTTCTACACAAATACCCTCTCTCAACAACCAGCCCCTGTGTCACTACCATATCTCAAACTCCAGGATGAGTGATCAGCGGGCGGTCGTTGCCCTGCTCCCTGACATCTGTAATGCGCGAGGAATGATGCAGAGTGTCACCGTGTCCGTCGTCAGAAAATTGGTGTAGGTACGGCTCGTGGGACAATGACAGAGTTGGCGGCAGCTGAGTAGAATACGGCTCGTACGCCACATCTCGAGGACCATGATTGTTCCCCGACTCGCCCCTGCCGCCAAGCGATACCATGGCAATGTCGCCCTCCTCGGCCGGGTTGTCGTAGTCGAAGTCGCGCTGGCCGCGTAGGGCGTTGGTCCGGCTCGCCATCCCGCCATCGTCATTGTCAGGCGCGCGAGCAACGGCAGGCTGCCTTTCGACCTGCACGTAGCGGTGGCGCGTCCACGTCGTGACACGCTGCAGGATCCCTGGCTTGGCCGAACTGATCGGGCCGTTGCCTGCTCCCGCCGCGGCTTCCGCTTCACCTTTGCTGTCGCTGAACGAGGCAGCGCCGACCATAAGGGCGCGTTTCTTGGCTGCTGGACCAAGGCCGTTGGTGCGTGTGCGACGAATTTCCAGGGTGTACAAGATGGATGTAATCAGGGACAGTGCAAAGGCAAAGAAAGGCAAGTATACTACCTTCCCTAGCTCGGCGGTGATGCCCAGACTGCCCAACTCTGACGTGACAGCGCCCGCAGTCCTGCGAGCTGTGACGAGGGTAACAACAGCATCACTCAGCAGAAGACCTGTCGCGATCCACGACAGAGCCGCTGCTGAGACTGCCAAGGTGCGAAATCGACTGCCCAAGCCGGACAAAACCGCAGCAAGAACCAGGAATACAAAGGCCAGGATGAACCCAACGCCCATGAAGTACGCTGCCTTCTTGTAGGTGTCAAAGCTGTGGTTGAAGTCATCCGAGAGGTTGATAGAAACCACTGTGGTGTCGAGCTTGAGCGCTGTCGCTGCGTTGAACCACGAGCCGACCTTGAACGAAGAGCACGTTGTCTCGGCGATGAAGTAGGCGCAGGTCGTGTAGACATGTACTGAATATAGAGAAGCGAGGCCAAGGGACTGCGCCGTGGCAGAACTACCGGTGAGATCGGCACCTGAGATCTTTTGTAGGTCCTGAAGGAACTGCGACGAGGAGAGTTTGGATGGTATTGTGAGCGACCCGACGTGAACCTAGATTTGCAAGTGTCGTTAGTCCACGGAAGAGGCTTGCCTGGCAGTCCTACAAAGGCATTGCGGAGGCAGTGTCGCGTTGGCGACTGACCTTCAACAAGGCGAGGTCTTCCAGAGCCCCGGGTTTGTTGCCGGCAACGAAGATCAGAATAATAATAATGATCGTAATCAGTGAGAGTATGTAAGGCACGCCAGCCAAGGCAAGACGCCCAATTCCCTGGGCCATGATGCTGGCTCCGAGTTTGTCGGGGTTTTCAGTAGGAGTTGCGCCGGGTATAAGAGGAATGCATCGACGAAACGCCCCTGCACTGAACTCTGCGCACACCCCAGGCCGCAAGATGTCTTCTTCGACAAGTATTGCAGCCTCTTGCACGAGGCTGCTAAACGGGATGAGACTGGACCAAGCAAAAGTTCAGCCTGCGAAAGCGCCACCAGCGGCTATATACGGTATGTTTTTGTATCGGATTCGCCGAGCCCCATCAGGGAACCCTTGTTGTTTCCCCAGACCGCGATAACGTGCCTGCCACCGGACCAGTCTCCTTCCGTTTCACGATTCAAGCATCTGCGGCACAGCGCAAGGAACGCGCATTTCACTCGACCAGTCAACAACGCCACCAAGCTAAACCAGTCTACAGCAGCAGCGCGCGCCCTGGCGCTTCATGCTGACGTGAGGGACTATAATATCCAGTCTGACCTCTTTTTCCCGCCATGGACTCTTAAATGCGCCAACTAACTGGCGCCACAATTGCGGTGGATCCGGAAGCAGAGATAGCCGGCATGGAATCTTCGCTGCCGGAGGCTGAGCTGCGATTTGTAGGCGTACCTTTCCCCGGGTCTGGTCCCTGAATGACTCCGTCGACGAGCAAGTCCCCAATGGCAGATGTGCCGCACAGGGCAGAACAAAGCTGACAGGGGCAGGGGTCAGGATTCCAGGGAGACCTCGGCCCCGCGAAGACCAGGGAGCCTCAGAGTGAAGCATCTCGGGAGAAGACTGAGCCGGCGGAAACCCTGCCATTTGCCAACAGGACTGCCTATAGAGACATGACATGCCGCGTTTCCGGGCCCACAAGGTGGCCGAAACTTGTAAGGCTGCATGCGCGATCTGTCACTGGTGTGAGCTCACTTCCACAAATAGATGATGGTCTCGTTTCTCGCGCAGGGTCCAGGAAACATTGACATGTTAATAGGCTTGTTAGCTCCCCTGGCGGCGAAATTGTGTGTCCAGCGTGTTGTCCAGCACTCGTGACGCATCTCTTGAGCCAATTCTCCGCGACATACTACCGTCTGGTCTGCAGCAGGCGCAAAGTGTTCGAAAGACTGGAGCCTGCAGGTTTCGTTTCTGCGCACACACATCATGAAGCTCGCGTCGGCTTCGCTGGCTGCGTTTGCGCTGCTGGCGGGGGATCTGGTCGATGCGGCCAACTGGGACGTGACGGTGGGCAAGGGGGGCAAGCTCAAGTTTGACCCGGAAACAATCACCGCGCGGACGGGCGATACGGTGACGTATCATTTCTTCTCAAAAGTGAGTGCAATCCCGCGTTTCTTTCATGTTTGTTCGAATGTCTGTCAGCACTTTGCGTGACGCTGGTCTTTGGAGAGACACCAGAACGAATACAACTCGTCAATTGCGCAAACCAAGTAGCCTGGAAAGAGACACCTGACGTTAAAACGTCGTATAGAACCATACAGTTACGCAGTCGTCGTTTGACAAGCCCTGTCAACTCCTCGAGAAAGGCGGCTTCTTCTCCGGTTTCACGCCGACCACCTCTGACAGCGTGGAGGCGCCGACTACCTTCACCATCACCGTCAACGATACCAAGCCAGTGTGGGTGTACTGCTCACAAACCACCGGCAACCACTGCCAGAGCGGGATGGTCCACGCCATCAACGCGTAAGTCCCCTTTGACAACCCTCGGCGGATGTGTGCACAATAATACATGCAAGCAAGGCACTAACAATGGCCCTACCGCCGTAGACCGATCACGGGAAACACCTTCGATGCGTACAAGGAGAAAGCCAAAGGCGCGCCGACGAGCGCGTCCCCTGCAAATGGCCTGCCTGTGGGCGGCACGCGAGTGCTGCATGTCGAAGTTGGCCTGAATGGCCTGGCCTTCACGCCTAACAACGTCACCGAGCTGCCTGGGACTGTCGTCGAGTTCAGCTTCAATCCCAAGGTATGTCACCTACTCTGGCCGATCTTTCCAGCTGGTGGGTGGTCCGTGTGGTAACGTGAAGTCGTCCAGAACCATTCCGTCGTCCAGTCCAGCTTCGGCAACCCGTGCCAGCCGCTTGACGGAGGCGGTTTCAGCAGCGGCTTCATCCCGACATTGTCACCCAATCCTGGCGTCCAATTCCAGATCGTCATCAATGACACCAAGCCCATATGGTACTATTGCGCGCAGACCACTGGCAACCACTGCCAGAGCGGCATGGTCGGCAGCATCAACGCGTACGAACCCCCTCCGATCATCGCGGACTGCGATTGGAGAGATTTGCAAAGCTTGGTGACTGACGGTTATATATGTACAGCGCTCTCACTGGGGACAAGACGTTTGACGCATTCAAGATCATCGCCTCAAAGGCAACGCCCCCGAGCACGATCCCTCCCCAGGCGCCGATTGGCGGTTCCCTCAGTGTCAACGGCAGCGTCATCACGTCACTGAACGGCAATGTTCTCGAGCTCACCGCCTGGAAGGACTACATCTCGCAAATCCCCAAGCCCGGCGACAATGACCAGTGGATGATGGGCGCAGCGGGCGGCGGCGCCATCGCCAACTACAACTGGGGCAACAAGACCCTATCCGACGATGCCACTCGTCGATTGCAGCTGCTGCAGTACATGGACAACGCGCTGCTCGTCTACTTGACCACTGGCGTCGGTAAGCTTACCGACGGTGAGTGGGAGAACGTCTATCCTCAGACCATTGTCAGCATCTTCGAGTCCATGGGAGCGCAGGCCTACTTCCATCGCTCGACGGCCAGCGACATCTTGCAGAACTTCAATAAGACCATGCCTGCTGTTTGTCAATACAACTGGTCCGGCTCTTCCGTCGACGACTACGTCCAGGCCGTACTCACGCTGATCATGCTGGAGATTGGTCTCCTCCTCGACACCGTGACGACGGCGTCTTCGACGGACCCCTGGCTGGCGCCGTGCCTGGCATCGGCCATCGGGGCCAAGTCCCGCATGGCCGGCGTCATCGGCCTCATGCAGAACCACACTGCCGCACCGGCACCTCGCGAGGTGGCTCTCTCTCCGAACCTGGTGTATTCCTACCTCCAGAAGAACTATATCCACTCCTGCCCGTCTGAGACCGCTCTGCAATGGAACACGCCGTTGCCCCAGTTGGTCATCACCGGGCGGGTCAATGATCCCGCGACAGGTCGCCTTACGACGATCCAGGTGTCTCTTGACGAGAGCGACAAGGAGCGCTACCTCGCGTTTCTTGGGCCGTGGGGCCAGGTTCTCTACTCGCCACTCAGCAAGGATGGGACGGCCGAGGTGCCTGTCGATCTCTACGCCTACGTATGGATCGTCGCGACGCATGAGAAGGACATGACGCTCCGTGACTTATACAGCAGCTCACTCGCGGGACCAGAGATGATTTGGGTGTCTAAGCCTTGAACTAGGTTCGCCGGCTCTTGAGTTGTTTTTGATTTTGGCAAATGTAATTATCAGGATCGCGGGGAGTCTGGATTCTAAGGCTTGGATTGGGACTGCAAAGGGAAGCGAAGCATCGCAACTTATACATTCAAAACATTACCCCGGGCCAATTCACGAACGTGCTGCAATTATTTGGCAAATCGCCATCTTCAGCCTCGTAAATACCCATATTCATTTACGCCCACACTGTAGCGACTTCCTTTGCCGCGTTTCGTTTCGCAGTTCAACATGGCGCACACAGTTTGTTGACAAGTTCTCAGACTCACTTGGGTTATAGCTGTCGATGAAGCCAGCTGTCGGTGATGCCCCGGCTAACTGCCCCCGGCTTAATGTTCCGGCGAGCCATACCCGCCACCACCTGGTGTGCATATTCGCATGCGATCACCAGCTTTGACATAGCACGAAGCTTTCCCTCCGACATTGATGACTTGCCCATTGTGTCGGAGCCAGAGGTTCTCACCCCTTGCACCTGGTAGCCCGCCAGCCATCCCGTAGGGCTGAAACACGCGTCGCTCGGAGAGGATTCCAGCGTGCATGTCAATCAGGAACTCGATCTCTCGGTTGACACCCGCGCCGCCTCTGAACCTGCCTTCTCCTCCACTACCCCTGCGGAGGCTGAACTCTCTCAGCAAGACGGGATACCGACGCTCCAGAACCTCCGCGTCCGTTATCCGCGTGTTGGTCATGTGGCAGTGGATGCCGTCTTCACCTACCCACCATGGCCCAGCACCGCTGCCTCCTGCTATGGTTTCGTAGTACCCGAAGCCGTTTTTCTGGGCCAAGCCGAAGGTGAAATTGGCCATGCATCCGTTGCTCGCCGCACAAACCTCAAAGGCCTTCAAGATGACGTCGACAAGACGTTGGTTGGTCAAGCCGTTGCCTGCTGCCACGGCTGCGTCTTTGGATGGCTTGAGAAGGCTCCCCTCGGGGATGATGGCGTTGACCGGAAGAATGCATCCTTGATTGAGTGGAATCTCCGCGTCGACAAGACAGCGCAGCGTGTAAATGATTCCCGCATTGCAGACTGCCTGAGGGGCGTTCCAATTGCCTGGGAGGTTCAATTCATCAGTTTCGTCTCTGAAGACTTGGGTTTCTCTGAGAAGCGTACCATAAGCTTGCGGACTGGTTCCAGTAAAGTCAAAGTCCGCGCTACCTGTCTCGGGGTCTATCCTGATTTGCAACTTTATCCTTGATCCATCATCCATGAAGTCTTCTGCGTCAAATACGCTCCGCTCTTTTTGGCGCGCAATTTTCTTGAAGAAGTCTCTGACGGCATTCTCGGAGGCCTTTTGGACTTCATTCATGTACAGCTAGTGGAGGAGATTAGTTCCTGTTCAGAGTAAGCCGACACGAACGTACCATGACTGTGTCTAGTGTATACTCCTTGATCAAGGATGCGATCAAGTTGTTCCCTTTCTGGTTCGCAGCAGCTTGGGCTTTGATGTCCGTGACGTTATCTTGGAATGACCGCGCTCCCTCGCAGCCGGGGTGTCGACTTGGAGCCACCACCATCGCCTCGTAGAGTAGTTCTTCTTGGAACACTCCATCTTCGACAATCTTCATGCTCTCGATGATGGCCCCTTCTTCCCAAATCTCTTTCGACATTGCTGGCATTGACCCGGGCACGATGCCACCCACGTCCGCATGGTGACCCCGTGATGCCGTCCAGAAGAGCACTCGCTCCCCATCTTCATCAAACACTGGGCTAATCACCGTCAGGTCAGGAAGATGAGCGCCGCCCGCAGCTGGGGCGTTGCTCAAGAACACATCTCCTCTTCGAATATTCCCCTTCCAGTGCTCAATCTGCCACCGCACTGAAAAGGCCATACTGCCCAACATGGCGGGAACATGGGGCGCATTTGCCACGAGTCCACCGTCGGCTGAAAAGATGGCACAGCTGAAATCGAGACGTTCTTTGATGTTGGTGCTCACTGATGTCTTTTGGAGCGCACGGCCCATCTGCTCAGCGATGCCCATAAACCGATTGGCGAACACTGACAGCTTGATGGGTTCAACTACGGCGTCCGAGTGTGCAGCGGGTGGGTTGTCGACGTCGATAACAAGCATAGAGGAAAGGGCTGTGGCTGCGGCATTGGGCGTGACGACTATAGTTTGTGTCTGGTCAATGATCACGGCCGGTCCACGAACAACGTCTCCGACGCCGAGGTCGTGTAAGTCGAAGACAGGTGCATCTACCAGCCCTGTGTCGCTGAAGAAGATGCTGGTCGTGTGCATGGACTTGGCCTCCCGAGTCTGCTCAATCGAATCCATTTCACGCAAACCCGGTGTCACAACCGACGCGGTCTTTGCCGTTGTCCGGACTCTTACATCGTCAATAATTATTTGTCGTCCTGTAGGCGTGAAGCCGAATTCCTGATGGTGCTCTGCGATGAATTTGGTGGCAAAGTCCCACGAGTCAGTCGGCTTCTCTGTCATCAAAGACGTAACGTAATCCACCACCGAGTGCGCCACACCACCGAGTGAGCCACTTTCCACCGCAACGCGTCATTCTCCAACAAAATATTGAATTCCTCCACAACACATTATGACCTTGCCTTCATATGAAAGTAGGGTCCTTCTGGCTATCGAAGCTCTTCAAAAAGACCCAAAGCTAAGCCTTAGAGGTGCAGCAAAACTCTATGAGGTT